GTGCTAGTGGTAGTAGTGGTAGTGGTAGTAGTGGTAGTGGTAGTAGTGGTAGTGGTAGTGGTAGTAGTGGTAGTGGTAGTGGTAGTGGTAGCAGTAGAGATGCGCCGCAGCAGCAGCCGTGGCAGCAGCAGCAGTAAGGAGGAACGGCAGTGGCGGAGGAAGAGAAAACGTAGCAGTGTAGTGCAAATTGCCTGGGCCCAAGGTGCTTTGAGGACCCCCAACCCCTCATCACCCGGATCTATGGCCCAGGCTGAGACATGAAGGCTGTGAAATACCTCAGCAAGGGACATCCAGCACTCATCAGCAAAGCACTCCTATGATCATGATTAAGATTGCTGCGATCATTATTATGCAGGCTATTATCATTATTCATACTGTAATATACCGTATTATACGGTTATTATGATTTTTAGCCTTGCTGCTATCATTATCAACATTGCTTGCCGTTGTCCTTATCGTAGCCAGGGGCCGGGCCCGAAGTCACCCAAGTTCTGAATTCGCTGTCTGGCGTCGTTGTAGATCGGATCGAAACGCTTGTGGACCTGCGAGGGTGGGTTTAGGGTTTAGGGGACTAGGGCTTTCAGGGATTAGGGTTTTGGGTTTAGGGTTTAGGGGCCCTCAACAAGTCATCACCGGCAAGGAATTTGCGACACCACTTGTAACATCACTGGCCTCGATCTGTAAGAGGACTCCTTTCTCCTTCGCGATGCCTCAAAAAATATTGGCGGACTTGAGTTCCCTTTCCTCGGACAGAAACTGGGAACCAAGCGCACAAGCTCCTTGTGCTGCGCCAGCGTCTTCACCATGGGCTTCGTCCTGCTGCTCGCTGCTTGCTGTGCTCAAGCCAACCCAGACCCGGCTACTGAGCTCCCGGCACCAAGACGTGGACGCCGCCTTGCAGGGCGGCCTTGCAGATTTCCTGAGCGTTCAATAACTTTGAGAAGCGCGGCGAGCACTGTAATGCACAGCAGCTGCTTGCAAACAGGAGTCAAAGTGCGTGTCATCAGGTGTGAACCTGGAGACCACCAAAGCTTGCTCCGCACTCCCGGGCCAACCCACACGAAGGGCATGAAATCTCCAACAGCCATCCCAACGCCGACAAACATGACAGGCAGACACTGTGCAAACGTCTCCCGGCTTGAAAGCCTTGATGGCATCAAGGAACGCCTGCAGGAAAACAGAACACGTCCCCTCCATGCTCCGACCCAAAGCATTCCGCAGAGGCCTTCGGATTCTTGCCTTCTTTGGGAAAGAACTCAAACCTCGGCTCCCGGGCGCCCAAAAAAGGCAAAGCTTTAAGCTCCATGGAGCAGCGGTAGGCGCCGGGCTCTTTGCTGCCAATGTTCGGAAAGGTCAAGTTGCGACTGGCAAAAAGCAAATCGCTTAGGGGTTTTATTAGAAGGGGTTTGGGGTTTTAGGGTTCGTGTAACCCTGGCGTTGAATGAAGCGCAGCAACGCGCAAGCAACTGTGTCCTGAGAAAGCTGGCGGCAGCCTGAAATGCTCCTTGATCTTGGGCTCTTTGTCCCCGTTGGTTCCAACCATGGCAATACGATCCCTGCAAGACAGGAACGGACTCTTCAAAACCAAGCTTACACAAGGTGCTCAGATGTGCTCAGCACCCAGCCCTATTTTCCCTTTCGCACGGAGGTCGAAGAAGGTCAAAGCAACCTCGAGCAAGCGACTGTCACTCTTTTTGCTCCCAGCCCTGGTGAGAAGTGGGCTTTGCTGCTTGGGATGCTTGTGTGACTTTCTGGGTTGAGAGTTGAGGGTTTAGCTGCCTTGCGAGTTGTTACAACTCGCCCGCAAGGAGAAGAGTCCGCATGCTCGGCATTCAGTACATCTAAGTGTCAACTTGTGTGTTTCAGTGGCTGTTCGCATCGGCAATACCACTAAAACCGCTCTTAGTGTCAATGAATGAATCGTCTTTGCTGGCTCTAGGTCCGAACTTGCTAAAATGGCCAACTACCCTTTATGATAACAACTTTGATTGTTTCGATGCCTGGTTTAGACTGCTATCACCTATATAGGTACTTGTAACTAAGCATTGCGAATGTCATTCCCCTGTCTGCAACCTAAACCCAGACCCTCAAGCCCTCCCTGCATCTGAGCTTTGGTCGAATGCCAGGTGTGCTAGTGGCGGGAAGTGCAGAGCACTTGCACCCGACAGCCTCGGGCCACGGCAACGCCGAGCGACTTGTCCGACTTCGCCTGCAGCACGAAGTCGACGGAAGGGACAGGAAGAACAGGCGACAAAGCTCCAAAGATGGTATTGGGCCTGACCGGAGGGTGTTAAGCCCGTGGTGTATTCGCCGGTGCCGAAAAGAATGGCATTGGGCGCCTGTCAAACACTGCATCTTTGTTACAAGCGTGGATAAAACATCTGCAACAGGCTGGGTGTCTCACCTTTGCGGCCATCCTACACTCGCAGATTGCGAGAGACTGTACACTTCTCTAAACTTAAACGGCTCAGAACAGAGTGCACTCCGCACCAGTGGCAAGCTGAGGAGACGCCTGGCACCCAACGTGCAAAAACAAACAAACTGTCAAGACTTCTTCCAAGCTCCGCGACGCTGACTGAGAGAGGTTACCGGAGGAGCTGTTTGGACAAACTGTCGAACGCGAACCGCGTCCGCCGGTCTGCACGGCGAGCGCTGTGGAAACAAGCAGGGGTCGTTGCCACTGGGACTTCATTCAGACCGGCTTGTGTTGAAGTCGGGTTGAAGCTGGCTTGTTGAAGGGTCTCTGCCCATGTCGAGGGTTTCACCATCTTCACTCAGATTAGACGCCGGTCGACTTCGCAGATGCTAGCTGCTTCAGCACCCACTTCTTCCGCGAGTCACGGGCCACGTTCCGGATGCTGTGCTCTACTGTCTGGAGCTCTGGACCGTCTGGCAATGGAAGACGACCCGCGATGCTTCTCCTTGACGAGGGTCTCTAGCACCAGAGCATCATAGCTCTCGCCACCACGAGCGGCTATGAACACCAGGTTCTTCTTGCCACCACGGGCTGTGAAGGAGCGACTGAGGGCAGCGCCGGCCACCAAGCCTACGCCCACTATAGGCCCGTCACACCGGCGACTCCAGAGCTGCTTGGCGCGGAAACGTGCTGCGTCCCGACGCCCCGGGCTATACTTCCCAACAGCAACTTTCCAGCACCTTCCAAATCTTGTTTGGAGGCCGCGGAGATTACAAGACCTTCGCGGCATACGAAACGTGGAAAAGAACTCAAACTGTGAAGTATGGCTGCCCAGCTGGCATCCATGAGTAGCGCATGGCCAGCAGGAAGCAAAGTGCACCCGCAAGACAGCGGCGACGTAGCAGCCCAGAGAGATCCAGAAACGTGGGCATCGTGGGGGCGTTGGACGAGTTAGGATGCGCATACAGACTTCTCTGAACAGCTTTAACTGACATGGCCCCGGCTATACATTCCA